AACAATCATTGAAAGGGTTATATGCATGTTGGTTAGTGTTGGATTAAAGAAGGTATTTTGGGCGGAGGATGACAGTAGCTTATCTGATAAATAGATGTCCCTCGACTACCTTGGGAATGAAGACACCTGAAGAAGTTTGGTCGGCACATCCACCTAGTCTCGACAAACTGATGGCAAGACAAGGTCGAACCTAGAGCTCTGAAATGCATGTTCATGGGATACCCTGAAGGAGTCAAAGCTTATAGGCTATGATGCCTAGAGCCAGGTCACAAGAAGTGTATCACCAGTCGAGATGTAGTTTTCAATGAAGCAGAGATGGCTTTCAAGAAAATTGATGATGATGACGAAGAGCTGGAACATAGAGAGATTCCTGTTGAGGTGGAGCATGTTGATGCTGAATTGCCTATCCCAGATGAAGTCGAAGAAGACGCAGAAGATGTTGTCAAAGATGAGGAGACTGATAATGACTACCTGCTAGCAAGAGACAGGTTGAGGAGAGTCATCAAGTCACCTCAGAGACTTGGGTATGCAGATCTTATAGCTTATGCCTTAATCTCTGCAAGTGAGGTTCTAGACAAAGAACCTAGAGACTATAAGGAAGTTATGAGGAGTCGAAAGAAGACTGAATGACTGAAGGCCATGGATGATAAGATGAAATATCTTCATGATAATAACACCTGGGAACTGATGAAATATCTTCATGATAATAACACCTGGGAACTGATCAAGAAACCTAATGGAGCCAGGTTAGTCAGCTGTAAATGGATTTTCAAAGTTAAGGAAGGAATTGAAGGAGTGTCGTCGAAGAGATACAAGGCAAGATTGGTCGCTAGGGGGTTCACTCATAAAAAAGGTATTGAATTCAATGATGTGTTCTCTCTTGTTGTGAAGCAAAGATCCATTTAAATGTTTCTTGCCACGGTGGCCCAGTTCGACCTTGAACTGGAACAGATGGATGTGAAGACTGCATTCTTGTATGGTGATCTAAATGAAACAATCCTTATGAGGAAACCTGAAGGGTATGTCGAAAAAGGGAAGGAAGATTATGTGGGCAAACTGAATAGGTCTTTATATGGACTGAAACAATCTCTTCAACAGTGGAATAGGAGATTAGACAAGTTCATGGCATGCATAAGTTTCATTAGAAGTCAGTTCGACCACTGTGTTTACATTAGATTTTGACCTGGTAATTCATTTGTTATTTTGTTCCTTATTGTGGATGATATTCTAATAGCAAGCAACAATGTCGAAAATGTAATGAGGGTGAAGGCTGAACTTAATAAGGAGTTTGACATGAAGAATTTGGGAGTTGCGTCCAGGATTCTTGGGATTCACATCTGAGGAGATAGAAAACAATCGAAATTATGCTTATCTCAAGAGGCATATCTACAAAAGATTCTTGAAAAGTATGGTATTTCGTATTCAAAGCCTGTTGTGACTCCAACAAACCCTCAATTCAAGCTGAGTATAGATCAGTGTCTCAACACTGATGTCGAAAGAACTTATATGAATAGAATTCCATATGCTAATATAGTGGGTTCTTTTATGTATGTTATGGTCTGTACTAGACTCGACATAGCATATGCAATAAGTCTTGCAAGCAGGTACATGGCGAATCCTGGAAAGGCTCACTAGCAAGCATTGAAGTGGATTTTAAGGTACATAAATGGGTCTTTGAATAGAGTCCTAATTTATGGTGGAGCCTTGGGTGAAGATAGTAAAGCAACAATTGAAGGATATGTTGACTCTGATTATGCAGGTTGTATGGATTCTACAAAATCTATTTCTGGATATGTGTTCACTATGTTTGGAACAACAATTAGTTGGAAAGCAACACTTCAGAAGGTCGTTTCCTTATCAACAACTGAAGCAGAATATATTGCCCTAACTGAAGTTGTGAAGGAAGCATTGTGGCTTGAAGGTTTTGCAAAAAAGCTGAAACTTCAAGGTCGAGTTATCACTGTTAAATGTGATAGTCAAAGTGCAATACATATATCGAAGAATTCAACCTATCATGAGCGAACCAAGCACATTGATGTGAGGCTGCATTTCGTCAGAGGGGTCATCGAGCATGGAGAAGTCCAAGTGCTGAAGGTTTCGGCAGATCATAATGTTGCTGATATGATCACCAAGGCGTTGCCCAGTTGCAAGTTTTTCCACTGTATGCAGTTGATAAAACTACATGAAGAAAGCTAGTTTCTTGATGTTATAGAGTTAGATCCAAGGTGGTGATTTGTGAGATATTGGATCGCACTCTAGTATGGAATTAAGCATGAGGTCGAAGTCTGTTCGCATGCTGCTCTTCACGAGTAATGCGTGTTGTAGTCGAAGTTTGTTCTAACATGAATTAGTCAACATTTCTAGGTTTGTTAGCATGTTGAATTGGGCCTTGCTTGTGAGTCCAATTTTTTAAGTTAGCTTGTTCCTAAGTTAGCTTCTAATGGGTAATTGTTAAAAAGCCCATTAGGTTAGTGTGCAAATTTTCTTATAAATAACATTCTAGTTTCTCATATTGGTATAAAGAAAAATAGGAAGATAAAATCCTAATTCAAGTGAGAGAGATTATTTTTGTTATTCTTTTATACTTGTAATCTTGTTATAAGAGGAATGAAAGAATAACAGTTTATAACCAATCCTTGTTTCTTCTTGTTGTTTTCCCTTGTTTTCTTTGTTAACCCTAACCCTTGTGTGTTTCTTGATCATAAAGAAACCTTTTATATTTTGTTTCAAGGCATCCCATTCACAACAGTTATCATCCATTACCTTATATTGTGGGTAACTTAGTTATATCTCCATTAAAACCCATTTAATAATCATTAATGTCTTTACCCCATTGACTCTGCAAGCTCAGTGTGTCATCAATAACATCGAATACCTTTTTTGGATGATCAAGATCTATGAATTTTTATATGACCCATTGTTGAGTCATAAAAATCTGGTATGGTAATACTTAATCGGCCCTGCAGTCAAAATGAATTGTCACATCCATCCATATTCAGTCGACCATGTAGTAAGGAAAGGTCACCCTTTTTTTAAGTAGCGAGTTATCATATCATTATCGAGGTCGTTCAGAGCTCGCCAACCCTCCTTTGAGTATTCTCTAAGGAAAGGTGACCCTTTTTTTATGCATCTTTCTCCATAAAAAAATTCACTAGGAGATTTAGGCACAACATCAATGTAGCTTCTAGAATCACATTTTGACTTCTCAGTTTTATCATAATCTTCAATAGTTTGGTCTTCAAAAGAGACCATATCACAACTTATGATAATTTCCCTATCAATTATATTCCACAATATATAACTAAAATCTTCATAACCATAACCTACAAACATATAGGGCTTATATATTTTATCAAGCTTGGATTTTTCATATTTTGGAATGTGAACAAAATCTCTGTAGCCAAACGCTACCATGTAACCATAAGAAACATCTTTCCATGTCTATGCTCTAATTTAGAACACCATCATCAAGTGGAAAAGAAGGAGAACGATTCATCAAATCCACTGTAATTTCCAATGCTTCATCCCATATGGCTTTCAATAACTTTGCACGAGAGAGCATACACCTGATTTTGTCATTAATTGTACGATTCATTCATTTGCAACTCCATTATGTTGAGGCGCAACTCCATTATGTTGAGGCGTATTTAGAACACTCTTCTAAAGCTTGATTCCACACTTCTTAAAATACTCTTCGAATGGACCTCTATATTCACCACCATTATCCACTATCACACATTTCAACTTTCTTCCCCTTTCTCATTCTACACTTGCATGAAAGTGCTTAAAAACAACAATTACCTAGTCTTTAGATTTCAAAACAAAATCTCTCATTTTTCTAGAGTGGTGGTCAATAAAGGTGAAAAAATATGATGCACCACATAAAGATTTAATATCCACCATAAAATAATAGTGTGAACTAAATCTAAAATATTTTACCTCCTATGAGGACCTTTACTATGAACATAACTCTGTGTTTCTTACTAGAAAACTCACGAGTGCAAGTTTTAAAGAAGTACCTTTTACCGGAAGAAAAGTTTTCTTGCAAAAATGTTGAATCTTTTCTCACTAAAATGATCAAGGTGTGTATGCCATAAATCACTAGATGCATCTTCAACTACATTCACTTTGTCCTTGAATAATAGCTTTAAAGGAACCCTGTAAAGAGTTGTGAGACTTTGCTCTTTTGCTATCACTAGTTAACCTTTGGTGATCATACATAGGCAACCATTACCAAAGTAAGTGTGATAACCCTCAATATCCAAGACTTTAACTAAAGTCAAGTTGACATTAATATAAAGAACATGTTTTACATTCTTCAATTGCATTAAACACCAGTTTCAACCCAAACATCTCCCTTACCAACAATTTCACAAACTCCTTCATTTTTCATTGTTACCGTTCAAAAATCACCAACAATATAAGGTGAAAAGAAATCACGCCTATGAGGCACCTAAATCAATAATCCAAGTTCAATCTTGACATGCAAAGTTTACGTAATTATCATTATAAATAATATAGACATCATTATCACTTACAACCACTATCATGTCTTTATTTTTATATATCTCACCTTACCACAATCGTAATATATATTTTATTTTCTAATTCTTTTGTTGTCGCAACTCTCAGATTTGTCATATTTATGAAAATTTTGATTTTACTTATCCCTCGTAACTCTATAATTAGAACTTCAAATTGATTAAGAGTAAAAATCATTTCAATGTTATATTTGGAACAAAATCATTTCAATTGTTTTACATACATGTTATATTTGGATTTTAAACTTATAACTTGATGTTGTTTTGATTCAATGTTTTGAATAAAATGACTTATATAAACAATTCAAAACTAATCTTTTGCATTGTTTCAAATTGTGAGTATTATTGAATTCAAGATATTACATTGCTTCAAAGGAAAATATAGAAATTAGAAATTCATAGCAGAAAAAGACAGAAATTAAGAAATTCATTGATCAACAATATAGGAAATTTTGAATCTTATTTCTTCTTAGTTGGATAAGAAGCCATCTTGTAGAGTCCACAAATCCCTTCAGCCTTTCCAATGTTTCTCTTCATCCTTATAAATCCTTTCTCTCCCCATTTTGCCCCCCATGAATTCTTCACTGTGATATAATCCAAACCTTTCGCTGTTCCATATCCGACGGCCGAAACACCATGATCTAGCTCACTTCCACAATGTCCATCAAACACACCCTACAAACAAACAACAAAAAATTAGTTTTACCGCTCTGGTACTCCTGACATTACAGTTGCGTGCAGAAGATATCTGATATCTGATTTATAAAACGTTAAACATACTCCGCTATAAAATTGGAAATCTCTTCCTGATGCTTCTATGGCCACACTGAGAGGTTGGTTGGCAAGAGCCTTCAATATGCTTTGTTCACTATTTTGTGGCACATCATGGTAACCACTAATAGTGACAATTTCAGTTTCTTCCTGGTGAAACAAACAAATGAAAGTTCTGTTACTTATTATTACTATATTATGTATTAGTATATGAAACTTTTTTGTTAGGTTAATTACTTTATGTACCTTTTTCATCTCACATGTTCCTTCTTCCATAATGTAAGGATAATCATCTTCTTTATGGAGTCCACCATTTTGAACTATGAAGTTGAATGCATAATCCATTAGACCCCCATTGCAACCATTGTTATAAGTTGTGTCACAATCAATTAATTCTTGCTCTGACAAAGATGTCAAATTTCCTGTCACAATTTGGTTTATTCCTTCCACGGCTGCAACCGTCGAAAATGCCCAACAACTACCTGCAAGGTCAGTTACCGTTTATATCCACGTTCAGGTCTAGTAAAGTTGAAAGTGGATATAAATAGAAAAAATAGTTATTTATACTTACCGCATTGACCTTGATTCTTGACAGCGGTGACAGCGCCTTTCTTTCTCCAATCAACTGACTTAGGAAAATCGACATCTCTATAGATGAAATCGTCTTCATTTGAGGATTTTCTTTGAGACAAGTCAACCTTTAGTCCAAGATACCTGTCCTTGAATTCCTGGTGATTCAAATCAGCAAACTCATTCAAACCAAGCCAATAGTTGCTAACAACCTTGTTTCTGTCATCAATATGCTTTAGATTATCCTTAAACACCTCGAACCGGAGTAGCTTCTCCTCAATGGTTTCGTATATCTTACCGTGTCTCGACATCCATGACTCGAAGAGTTCAATGAGCTTGTCCATGGACTGTAAGTCCTCGGACGAATAGCCCACGATCGAGAACTCGCGGCCGAAAGCTAAAGATAGGAATAAGCATAAGGTGCAGGTCAGGACTAGTGTCTTTGAGGAGAAAAAAGCCATGGTTAATTAGCTGGAATGTGTTGGAGAAGAATATAAGAGAAGGGATGAGAAAGAATGTGGAAAGAGAGTTGTATATATAGGTTGTGTTTTGGATATTGCTTAGAAGTAAAGTTTGTTGAAAATGTGATATTTATATAGTATGGTATAGTGAGTAAAGTAGAGTAGTCTTTAACTTTAAGAAATGTTGTTTTCAACCAATTGGAGAACCAAAATTACAGCAACGGTAATTGAGTATTTGTCTGCAACATCCATTCTAAGCTTCATTACACAATCTAAAGAAATGGTGGGCAACTTTAATGGCACATGTTTAGTATACTCCCACAAATACTAAAGACACCCACCATATTTTTCCAATAATCATTTTCCACTTTTATTGAACTTTGAAATTTATTCTGACTATAAGACTACAGTCCCTAACTCATCTAAGTCTTTTGTTTTTTATTTAATTAATATTATATTATGAAGAAAAATAATAATTACACCAATGGCAAGTTAGAGCTTTTCTTAATAAAAAAAATCGATCCGGTAAATGAGATTAAGTATTAAAAAATATCTGTATAGATAAATATCTGTCAATACAATTCGTTATGAATATAAAATGTGTAGTTTAATAGATATTTGGTAAATAGGATGAATGTTTAAATATTCATTTTTTTTAATAAAAATGAATGTAGATTAATGATATTTGTGTCTGCAAATATTTGTATTAGTTAATAAATTATAATTATATAAATATTATTAATTTATTATATAGTCTATCTTTTCATTTTTTTAAAAAAATAATTTTTAAAATTTTTTTTTAAGTTTTCTTTAAAAATAATCTTTCACATCATATACAAATCTTAATTGGCAGGTTCATATTTAAACTTCTTTTATATTTCATATTCAACTTTAACAATTTTATGTCTAAATCCTTCATCTGTCCAATCAACAACGTCTTCCTTCCTACTCATTTGTCATCTACTCTTTTATTGTAACATATAATTATAATATCTTTCATTCGTTATAGTTTAAAAAAAAAACAATATATTATTATTATGCTTGAATATTATTATGTTTTGGTGAAAAAAAGAAAATTAATGTTATGAAATTTTGTTGTTAAATTAAAAGCAAATTGTATATCTATTATGTGATAATAAATTTTTATATCTTTAAAAGAAGTTGAAAATATTATTTTAAAAAATGTTATTTAAAAGTGAAATTATGATAAACAGATCTCAGATGTCCTAAGAGATATGTAAGGACATTGATCTCTGCCAAAACAGAACAAGGACAAAACATGACCATTTTAATTCACTTTAAAAATTAACAGTGTCATGACATCTGTTGTAATATCTGCAGACTAACAAAACTGTTTATCTAACCATTTAAATTGTGCAGAATTGTAAATGCAGTAGCAGACAGTCGATGTTACAGTGGATGTTATGACATCCACTTCTGGACAGACTATTAAACAAGTCACGAAAGCAATAAAGAACACAAGAAATTGTTAACCCAGTTCAGTGCAACATCACCTACATCTGGGGGCTACCAAGCCAGGAAGGAAATCAACTATTAGCAAAATTAATTCAGAGTTAAACTCCCAGTTTACAACTCCTCACTTAATCTCTACCCAATGCAATTTCTGGCTATACTTGATTTTGCTTAACATCTAATAACTAATAACTATATTCAGTTGATAAATATGAGATAGACTATTCTTGAAACCGTCAAAGTTTCTACTGAGTAGACTTTCGCATTCATCACACTTTCTAGTTTCCACTCAATATCTCAAACAGATTAATTAATAATGTTCCTAAATATCAATTTTTATTAATAAATAACAAATCTAAATATCTATATTTTATTAATATCAAATCTTTCTACTTTCTAACTCTCTTCCGTGTTTAACAGTTGCTTTTAAATCTTCCCGCACCTAAATCTATTCTCATAACATAACATCACACACAACCCTAGTTTTTACATAGTGTTATTTCTCTCTCATTCTTTGTTTCAATTCAACATCAAAATCAATTCGTATTCAAGAAATTCAACATCAGTATGTCGAAGGAAGTCATTATCCGTGAGGTCTGGGCATACAGTTTAGAGTATGAATTCAATCTCATCCGTCGAGCTATCCATCAAAATCATTTTATCATCTCAATGGATACTGCTTTTTCTGGCGTGATTCATTCTCCCAAAATTGACCATCGTCGTCTTCAACCCTCTTATTATTACCCTTACTTGAAGGCTAACGTTGATGATCTTAAACTCATCCAAGTTGGTCTCACCCTTTCGGACTCCAAGGGAAACCTTCCTGACTTTGGAAGCAATAACACTTACATTTGGGAGTTTAGTGATTTTGACATCAATCATGATCTTTGCAATCAAGATTCCGTTGATATGCTCCGCCGTCAAGGAATCAACTTTGAGCGCAATATTTGTCACGGTGTGGATTCAATGTGTTTCGCTGATTTAATGTTCTTGTAGATACTTGTTTTTAACCATTCAATTATTTGGGTCACGTTTAGTAGCGCATATGATTTCGGATATTTGGTGAAAATTTTGACCAGAATGAATTTGTCAAACCGGATAAAGGAATTTTTAAACATCATAGAAGTATTGTTTGGAAGAAGTGTTTACGATATGAAACACATGATGAAGTTCTGCGACTCTTTGTAGGGTGGTCTCGAGCAAGTAAGTCACATCAAGCTGCATCGGATAGTTTGTTGACATGGCATGCATTCCTCAACATGATGTAGACTCCTTTTAAGGATAATGAAGGTCGCAAGCATGCCGGAGTGTTGTTTGGATTACAAATTGCAGCTTAATGAATAGAATATAAAAGAATTGTAATGAAAATTGAAGTATATCAAATATTCATTCTTTTATTATTTCTTAATTTTGTAGGGAGTGTGTCAAATTTATTTATTTTTTGAAAAACAAATCAATTTTTTATTCTGAAAAAAAAATCGATTTTTTTTCCAAAAAAAAGTAGGTTTTTTTTTTAGAATTTTTTTTTCCGAAAAACAAATCAGTTTTTTATTCTGAAAAAAAAATTCGATTTTTTTTCTAAAAAAAAGTAGTTTTTTTTTTAAAAACAAATCAGTTTTTTATTCTGAAAAAAAAAACCGATTTTTTGGGAAAAAAAACAGATTTTTTTTTCAAAAAAAATTAAACTTTTTTTTTCAGAAAAAAAATTCATTTTTTTCGAAAAAAAATATAGCTTTTTAATTATTTTTAAAAAAATAAATCTAACAAAAATAAAAATAATTCATTGGATCCTTAAAATATGTTGGATGGATTGAATCCATCCATGCATATAAATGGATGGATTTAATCCAATCCATTAATTTATTTTTTGTGTGGTGGATGGATTAGATGAATTTTGTATTAATGGATTTCATTGTCACCTCTAATTTTAAGGATGATGAAGGTCGCAAGCATGCCGGAGTGCTATTTGGGTTACAAATTGCAGCTTAATGAATAAAATATAAAAGAATTGTAATAAAAATTGAAGTATATCAAATATTCATTCTTTTATTATTTTTTTATTTTGTTGGGAGTGTGTCAAATTTGTTAATATGTTATAGATACAAATTTTCTATAATAAGGTTTATAGAAGTTATAATCCTATTATCAACTGTCACACATTTTAGTCCCTATCAATCTCACAAGCTGCCATAAAAGTAGAACAAGCTCAGCTTCAACTAGTCAAAGAAAATGTATTCCATGGTAGAACCATGCAATTCTTGTTATTTTTAAAAAAAGAAAGCCTAATTTCGTTCATAAAACTATTTTGCAGAACAATTAATTTTATATAAAAATCTGGATAGTACTTGTTTGTTAAAAGAAAAACAAACTGTGATGGTACACTACAAGAAAAACTGGAATTAGCTAGGGGTTAAACCCCTCACTAAGTCAAAAAAACCCATCACAAAACCAACATTTGCGAAGGGACAGAGCCCCTAGCTAATCAGGGCATCGCAAATCATTGGTGAGGGGTTAAGCACCTCGCAAAAATGGTGAGGGGATAAGCCCCTCGCAAAATGTAATTTAAAAAAATCCCACTTTTGCACCACAGACGTAGCCACAGAGTAGAGCCAGAGAGGGGTACAGACCTGTCACAGCAAATTGCGAGGGGTTAAGCCCCTAGCTAAATCACGTGATTCTTTAAATTAGTGAGGGGCGAATCCCCTAGCCAGCTGTCTAATGCACTTGCGAGGGGTATAGCCCCTAGCCAGGTGTCCCCCATTTTTGGATTTGCGAGGGGTTAGCCCCTAGCCAGCAGTTATATTATTTTTTTTTTAAATTTAATAATTGTATTGAAATAATTATATTATAGAATAATATAATATATAATAAATTTTTATTATATTTTATAATTCTATTATTATACCTAGAATAATATAATTATATAATAAAAAATATATATTAGAATAATAATATATTATATAATAAATTTTTATTACATTTTATAATTATATTATTATAATTAAAATAATAAAATTATATAATAAATAAAATATTGATATACATAATCTAGTTTCTATTATAAAAAAATATATAATATGTTTTCAAATTTAAATAAATAAATATTCTGTTTTAAAAAATAATATATAATATGTTTTAATATTCTGTTTTAAATATGTTTATAAATAAATAAATATTCTATTTTAAATAAATATTATGTTTTAAATAAACAATATATAATATAAATCTGTTTTATATTCTGTTTAATATTTAATATAACATAAATAAATAATATTCTGTTCTAATATAATATACTATAAATATTCTGTTTTAAATATTATGTTTTATATAATATAAATAATATATTCTGTTTAATTATATAATCTATTTAATATTTAATAAATAAACATTCTGTTTTATATAAATAAATCATAAATAATATATAATATTCTGCTTTAAATAAATATACAGTTTTAATTACTAAATATTCTGTTTTAAATAAATATACAGTTTTAATTACTAAATATTCTGTTTTAAATAAATAAATA